TCGGGGCCCTCGGTCCCGCTCAGGGGGTGTGGAACCGCGGGCCGCTGTGGAGAGCCCGCCCTCGCCTTGTGGTTCTCTCTTCTCCCCCGTAACAGTAGAATTAAGCGTATTGGTGTTGCAGGGGTGAAGGTTCGTTAATTAATTCACCTTGGAAATGAAGCTGCTCTAAGTGTTAAGTGTTCTCTTCCTCAGCCTGGTCACCCGTGGCTTTATAATTTCCTCTGCACCTCCTTTTGTTTCAGTGGTACAGAGACAAGTGCCCTGGGAACAGCCACTGTGTAAGAACAGCAGAGTCCCCGAGAGGTCTGCGGCATGGTTTGGGTTTGAGGAGCCCGTGGTTTGAGTGAGTACAGCTCTGTCTGAAGCAAGGGTAGTGCTCAGGGGTGCACATCAGGCTGCCTGCGCTTCTTGCCTTCTCCTACATGTCTGCTTTTAGGGCCAGACTCAAATCTGTTCATAACCACTGTTTGTTTTCCTGTGACTTTACCATGTTTGCCTCCAGGCTTTCGGCTCTAAACCCCACTTGGAGCTCACTGCCCTCCCCTCATTTTAAAGCAGTGCTCTGGCAGGCTGTGTCTCGGCAGTTGGGGTTCGTTATCCATTCTAACGGGCCGAGCTGCAGAGTTTTAAGATGTTTCTGCTCCAGGTGACAAGACTGCTCTTTTGTTGGAAATCACCACGTCAGAACAAGCTGGAATAAATGTGTGCCTGCTGCTGCTGGAGGTAGCTTTGGCTGGGAAGCGGAGCCTGAGGCTGGGCTGGGGTCTGCTGAGCAGCTCTGGGCTGGTGGCTGCCCCGCCTGGCATTTTTTCCTGCACCAGACAGGGCAGAGGCAGCGAGCACTTGAATGAAAATGGAGTGCTGCAGGCGCCAGATCCACTCGCAGGTTTTCAGTTTTCTGAGTCCCCTGAGATACACGTGCAAGATGCTTGAGAGACATTTCTCAGTCCTTCTCCAAAGAAGGCTCAGCTGATGAGCACGTGCCCCTCCTCATTGTGCTGTTTTTGATGCAGGGCTTGTGTTTTGCAGACAATGAGTGGAAATGAGGACGACTGGCTGGCTCTCAAACCCCAAGAACCTTCTCCATCCCAGTGCTGCGGCAGCGGCTGCAAACCCTGCATCTATGATGTGTATGAGAAGGAGCTTGCACAATGGGAAAGGGCCAAAGCAAAGCAAGACAAAAGCCTCCTCATGGAAAAGAAGGAGCAGGTTAATTTATCTTCATAACATCCTAGAGCCAGGGTTTTGATCGTCCTTGTTAGTGTGTGGTGATGGGCAAGGGATGCAGCAGTAGATTAAAGCCGTGCCTTAAGAGAAGGCTGTAAACGCAATTCCCCAAACTCTGCCTCCACGGCCACCCTCCCCCTTGCTGCTCTCTCTGTGCTGTAATGTGATTTTCGCCCTGGTGTCGCGTTACAGCCCTGGCTCTGCAGCTCCTCCTTGCTGGGGGACCCCAGGCAGCCAGAGCCAGCCTCTCTGCAAACTGGGAATGGTGAAAAGTACAAAGAATCACCATTTTCTCTGCTGACAATTTCCTTGGAGAAGCTCCGTTTTCCTGACCTTTTTCATCTTTTCCTGATTTTTTTTTTTAAACTCGTACTTTGAGGCTGAAAGAAGCTGCATTGTATGGGGTGGATTAATTGTCTTCAGAGCATAATTTTAAGCTTGTCAGGGCCCTTTTACATGAGATTAACTATGCTGGGTCAAGCAAAAATGATCGACATTGAAACAGCTAACAGTATTTCCTATTTGCAGTGGTCATCAGTAGGTTTCAAAGTTGCCCCCAAAGCAGCGCTCAGCTTTTTTAGCAGTATCATTTCTGTTTGTTTACAGACATGATGGCAATGAGTCATAATAGGATGACCTTGCTGTAAGGTGTAAAAATGTAATTTAAAAAGTGGGGGGGAGGGAAAGATGCGAGATCCCAAAGTGCTGTGCTGCAGGACATGATAATGAATCAGCAGAGAGCTGAAATTTACGCTGGGCCCCAGCATTTAATACACATTCTTCTGAAGTCCTGAGTATCTCTGGCACTAAATTAGCACGTGCGTTTGCTTCCAAAGAAAAATGAAATAATAAAAGACACCATCTAACCAAGTAATTATTTATTGTTGTTCTTGCAGAGCAATAATTCAGAACTGAATCCAGATACATTTACTGCATTCAGCATAAGCTCAGTGGAGCAGCTAACAGAGGACACCTACCAGTACAAATTTGAATTACCAGGAAATAGCAGTCTGCGATTGAGTTTAGGACAACATATCGTGTTAAGGTATTGTTCTCCGTGCTAGTTAAACAGTCTGCATTATGTAACCCAATACAGAGGTTTTTGTCAATAGACAAAGGCTTCATACCAGGCAAATCATAATTTCTGTACCTCCACAATGACACAGATGAAAGAACTTGTGAGCTCGTTAGTTCTACTAATTTTATGGTAAAAGCCATTCCAAAGCTGTATTTTTCTTCAGCATTATCCTTGCGTCGGTGGGTCAGAAAGAACTAGGTGTGATTAAGAAAATCCATTTGCAGAAAGAAAGAGTCAAAAGAGTAGATGTTGCAACAGATGATTTACTCCAGCATATTGGGTGAAGACAATGAGCTGTGCTTACCCCAGAGCTCAGTATTTTAGGCTGTGTATCTTGGGGTAACTCAGCACCCGGGGTGTTACCCCTCAGTGTCCAGCCATTTCCTGACTGATTTCTAGCAAAACAACCCTCCTGTGTAGTTTACTGCTTGCCAGAAAGGAGCCACTTGGGAAAAGTTTATGTCTTTCTTGGCCATCTGTGGTGATCATTGCCAGATAGAAAAAGTCACGTTATGATGCCATTGATCTGTATCTGTTGACGTTATCGGTACGTTAACAGCTGATGTGTACAGCTGGCTCACTGCTGAAAGTACACGCTTCTCCCTTCAGCCATCCCTCATCGTGCAGCAGAGGAAAAGGTTTGGTCACTTCAATCAATTACTGTAGTCAGCAGTAAAGAGCAGGGTGGATATATTCTATGGAAAGAGAAGACTTACAGGAAAATACAGTGTGTATTGACAAGGCCTCGGGTCAAGGCTGTGCCCTGGCTTTCATTATGGAATTACCAGATGCTGTCTGAACACAGCAAGGAAAGCAGACCCCAGCCCGAAAGGGACAGCAAACTTATGACTAAAGCATTTTCTCTCCCCTTTGCCACTCACAAAAAATGGCTCAAACATCCTTCCAGGCATATGTCCAAGAGCTGAATGTGTGGTACAGCTGGGCCCACCATCAGGAAAACAAAAGGTGCGTTTAGCCATCGTGTTCCCCTTGGATTTATACCTCTGGGAGGGAAATGTTCTGCATCTGCACAGGCTGGGCCATTGGGAAGAGGACCTGCTGCCTCCCTCATCTCCCCTGAGAACTGCAGAAGTTTGGTAATGCCAGTCAATGACCCAAGTCACAGTGGGTTCCCGTATTTCTCTCCTCAGAGGAGTGGTGAATGGTTTGGAGGTCCAGCGAGCCTATACTCCGATTAGCCCAGGGAATGCAGAAGGGTACTTTGAAGTTTTAATGAAAGTAAGTAAGCCTGTACAATATGGATTAGAGTCTAAGGTGCTGGGGAGTATGTTTTCTTTAGGAACCAAGCTTGCTGTCAGCACTTCAAGTGAGACTCTCCCAAATCCCCCGTGGACTGTTTCTCTGTTGTTTTGAAGCAGTTGTGCTTAGCTGATAAAAAATGCAGTTTTTCCTGCTAAACTGAGAGCAGTGGAAGGTGACACACAAACAAGTGCTTTGCAGCATAAGCTCTGTTAAGCACTTGGGAGAGCCCCTTGGGAGCCCTGTGGTCACCAGTGTGGGAAGAGGTGCCCATTCCACTTCCCTGGTTTGATTTTGCCTTTTTGATCGGTCTTTGAAATTGTACCCAGTTGTCAGCCCAGTTGAATCACTGATTTTGGGAAGTCCTTTCCCAGCTCACCCTGTGTTTTGCTTTAGGAGTGTTACTCAGAAAAATCTTTCATTTTGTTTAAAAACATAGACAGACAGTAGGCATCTGTTCCTGGATTGTGGGCAGGGCAGGGCTCTGGAGCTGCCTGCAGTCTGAGAGGGTCCCTGTGACCCACAGAGCAGAGGGGTGGCCCACAGGCACAGGCTGCACTTGTCAGGGCGGATGGGGTGACAGAGCCCCGTTTTGGATGAGTGTCCTGCCCCTTCTGGAGGCCACCACAAAATACTAGTTGAGTTCAAAAGGATTTTATAGGAGAACTTGGCTGGCAATTTTTCTGAGTAAAGTCTCCAGGGCCCTCGTAAGTGATTACTTTGTGTGGAGAATATCGAATTCAAGAAGATTTTTACAATACTGCATTTGTTTGTCACTAGTGATTCCTCAGGGCAGACACGGACTTCAGTACAGGTGTGAAATTCAGAGTGCTGGGTATCCCAGGTGGCTTGCAGGGAGTGACCACTTGTCCTCTGCCTGCCTTCCAGGATTTCACATTTTGGGGGTTTATTAGGCATTGTACATTCGAACACAAACCCTGTTCTTTAGAAAAGTGTACAGCTTCTATAGGACACCCGTGGGAGGGTCATTTTGCCATTCTTGTGGCAATTGGTGTGTGGTAGGGGAGAGAAATGGTGCATTTGAGTTGCATTAATAGGATATGTTCACAGGATGACTGTGAAATTTCATGTATACTTGCTTATTACTCACAGGTTTTGCATTTCAATAATAATAGTAATGATTGTAATGATACCTTTCCATTATATGGAACCTTTCATCCCAAAGGGAGCTGTAGTTATTCTCTGGCAGTGACAAAAGAGGTTGGTAACACCCAGTGTAAAGCAGCCATTTTTATAACTCACTCTGTAGGTTGTGGTATATTTCACACTATTCAGGCAATTTTGGAAAGTACTATATTATTATTATTACTATGCAATCCAAGCACTGTTCCAACTCTTCTGTCTCCTGTTATTATAGCGTTGCATTTGTGATACTACAGTTAAGAGTGAGGGAGTTGCCATTTACAGAGCATAACCCTCTTTTTGAGTGATTTCATAATGTTAGGGTTTCTCTCCATGTAAAACTGGGTGTAGAAGTTTTCCCCCAGGAGATATATTTTTTTTTTTCTTTTTATTTAGAAAAATTCATTTTAAACCCACTCAATCACTTCTCACTTCAATTTTTGGAAATAATTTTGGTGCAAGAAGGATTGTTTTAGTTTCCATTACCCTGGTCCATTGGGAATAGGCAGTGAGTGGGGCTGACTTTTCTGCTCTTGCCTTGGGTTTCTGTGTATATTTGAAGAAGATGGGTATAAAATACTGCTCCTTTGATGCAACTGCACACTCTTTGCATGAGACTTAGTACCTGCCCAGAGCTCTCTGAATGTGAAATGTTTCTGACAGTAACTCAGAGCCTGGATGTACATTCTGCATTTACCCTTTGAGTGTAACAACTGGTGCTAATAGTTCTTAATACTTCAGGCATCTTGTTGAAGTGAGGTTGTTAGGAGGGGAGGAGCATCCATGTTCTTTGTTAGCTAACACTGCTTGCAAGCAGAAGCACAGGCTCACTCACTCACTTTTCTTAGCTTCTTTGTGGTTCACCAATTTTGTTTGCCTGCAGTGCAGCTTGGTGGCCAGCCAAGGCACTGGGGTGTGGAGCTGGGCTTCTCTCCAATGTCTGTGCAGAAAATACCCCGAAATATGCTGCTTTTGTATGGGCTGGAGTTTTTGAAGGCTTGTCTCACATCCCATCTTTGGGCCTCTGGTTGTGTTGCTCTTCCTCAGGCTTATCAGTGGCATCACCTCTGTGCGAGACCAGTTGTCTGCCGCAGCTGTTGGCCTTATCTGCTCTCTCTTTGGACCAGCCCTTGTTCTCCAGACAGATCCCATAGACTGTGGCTGTTCTTGTGCTCACGTTTGTTCTCATTAACCATAAAGTGGTCATACATACAGGACATAGATGTACGTACAGCCTGTAGCAACGAGGCTGCTTGGATGAGCCCTTCATTTTCCAGCTTCTCTGTTTCTAGCAAGCACTGGCCCTTTCTCATCAGTCATGAGT